TTCAGGACGTGGCCCGGGTGACAGAGCCGCAGATGGCACAGCAGACAGGGCTCTCTGGCGGCAGGAAGGTCTCCATGTTGTGGAGGACGGGCCTCTTACCAGATCACAGGGGGCAGCTCAGCGCAGGCAGAAGCACCGCCCAGCCCACTGTGGATGGTGCCCAGGGCCAAGGGGCACCATGAAGGGGGGAGTGTGGGAAATTCAGAGCAGGGAAGGAATGGTGGCCTCCCAGGGCTATGGGTGTCCACAGAAGCGATCACTGGGCTCCCCTGTGGCCTGTGCTGAAGGAGAGACAGAGCAAAGGAAAACAGGGTGTGGGGAGAGGGGACCCGGACCCTCAGGGACAAACAAAGGCCCCTGTGGTGGGGGGAGGCTTGGGAGATTTCAAGGCGACTCACTCCATTCCATGGTGACAGGTCTGGTGCTGCTGGGGTGCCGCACTTGGCAGGTGTAGCCCTCCCCGCTCCGGGGAACTGTCTCCAGCATCACCAGGGTCTGGAAGGTCCAGTCCCTGTTCCGGATCAGGCCCGTGGACACCACCCCGGCCTCCTCTTCCTGGCCGTTGCGCAGCCAGCGGACCTCAATGTGGCCCGGATAGAAGCCGTTGACGGAGCAGACCAGGAGGGTGTGGTGCTGCAGGCGCTGGGTCTTTGCAGGATACACGGTCACTGTGGGCTCAGCTGGGACAGAGAAGGCGGAGGGAGACGTGAGCAAGACAGGCAGGCCCCTTGGTTGCCCCACTTCGGCCTCGTCTCCTGTCCCAGGCTCCAGGCCCGGGCAGCTCCACTCAACTGCCCTGTGGCCCCGCAGGAGGTAGTGCCATGGGCCTTGAATCTCCGTCTATATGACGGGCCACTGGATACGAGAAATGTTGAGGAAATTTGTGTGGGTTTTTTTTATTCCATAATTTGAAACAGTTACTCATTGTTGAATGAAGTGTTTACAAATCTTTGCGAGGCACAGAGTGTGTGAGTTCCAGTGTGATTTCTGGGGCAGGGCTGCCTGGTCACATCCAGGCTGTGCCTCTTACTGGCTGATCCTGGGGGATCCTCTCTGCTCAGCTCCTCACCTGCAAAGGGGGTGATAATGCTAACTCACCGCTTAAGGACATATGAGGACCAATGGGCCTGAAACATGTACAACAGCAGCTGGAACATTGCTGTCACTCTATGTCAGCTGTTTATTATATAGTAGAGGCCCGGTGCACAAATTCGTGCATGGGTGGGGTCTCTTGGCCTGCCAAAAATCGAGGCCTATTGGGGGCCAGCCAGCTGAAGGGAGGGACCCCAGGAGGTTGCCCAGCAAGTGAGGGAGGAAGAGGCCATGGGAGGTTGGCAGCCAGCCCCCCAATTGGGGCTGATCGGGGGTGTTGGCTGGGGGCCACGGGAGGTTGGCTGAGGG